CTTCTTTTGTTTCTGCCCATATGGTTAGAGCTGACAGAGTGGGTGTGTGCTCCAGGTTCCTTTTTTAAAATAGTGACTTCTAATGGGAAATAGAAGATGTGCCATCTTGGTTGCAGTGCCTGCTCTCTGGAATATGTATCTCTCTGAGATTTAAGCTATTCTAACTTTGCCATCCTTTAAATGGGTCTTGAAGACCTGGATTAAATTAAAAATGTGCCCCAGAGTAAAATCCTATTAATATCTAGTTTGACTGGTTTACTGACTACCATCATCAATTTTATCGTAGAGTTTAGCTTTTAATATGTATGCTATCCTGAATGAGTTTGGCATCTTTTATAAATGTGATTTATATATAGTTTATATTGTGATGATGAATGAAATGTCTGCAAGAAAACAACCAAGCTGAGAGAGCACCAAGGACCCCATAAATAAGCCACAGCTTTTATAACTGTGGAATTCTTGGTACTCTCTCAGCTTGGTTGTTTTCTTGCAGATCTTTCATCACCCAAGTAGGTAACATCTTCAGTGCTAGAATGGAGTGGGATTTGCTCTGTTTATATACAGTGGCTTGCTCTGTTGGTGTTGGTGGAAATGTTGTTATCTTCTTTGTAGTTCCTTGATTAGGCTGTTGTTCACTATTTGATTGTTTATCTGAGGTAGTAATTCCTTGATTGGGGTATTGTTTATTGCTTAATTGATATTAATCCTACACTATTTTCCCCAAAATAAGACCTCCCTAGATAATAAGCCCAATCAGGCTTTTGAGCGCATGTGCTAAAATAAGCCCTCCTGAAAATATTGCAACACAGCAGCAGCCATGAGGTGACCACACTCGCTGCCTCCTGTACCTCAAAATTAATAAGACCTCCCCAAAAATAAAGCCAAGTCTTATTTTCGAGAAAACACGGTAGTGTTAACCCAGTCTGGGTGTTAATTTTCATTTCCTCTTTTTCCTAAAACTTCTCCTTTCCTCTAGACTTTCATATTCTCTTCCTCCTAAAGTAGTCTGCCTTAATTCTAGTATTTTATCTTCTGCCCATCACTACTACATTTGTTTATTCCTTACTACCTCCCTCCTCCATCTTATCACAACTTTCATTAAACAAAACTAACAATCAAAGATAGTGGGGAAGCCATCAAGAAGTTGAAATCCCAGGCGGCTAACAGGCAGGCCAGTAGGCAGATAAATGGCTCCTGCAAAATGGGGGAGTGCACAAAAGGATGTAAGAGTGGCAGGAAATGGAGTAGTTTCTAGTGGAAGAGGGTGCAGAAATGGCAGAGTAGGTGTCAGCAAGGCACAGTTTGGGATGGCTACCACCAGGTGAAAGGGAGTGCAGATGAGCGTGGGAGTAGTGGGGGATGTATGGGGTGAGGAGACTTCAGATGGCTGCTGATGGGTGAGGGAAGGCCAGCAAGACACAAATGCAGAGAGGCTGGGTAGAGAGACTTTGCATGTGAGAGAGACTTATGTGAGTATTTTGTAACTTTCCTTGCCAGCCTCTCCATTGATTTTGCTTGTGCTAAACAGGCAGGAAAGGTCATTAATCTCAATCATGTGATATGGGATACTGCAACTTTTGTAAATGCAAGTTGGTTGTGAAGCCCAAACATCACGACTATTTCAGAAAGCAAAACGTTCTAGAGCTGTGATGGTGAACCTATGGCACGCATGACACAGGTGGCACTTGGAGCCATTTGTCAGGGCACGCAAGGCTTGCCCTGTCAGCTGGCCAGCGTGCATGCGTTCGCTGGCCAGCTGACTTCAGCCTTCTTTTGAGGCCATTTTTCACAAGGGAAACCTCCTGAAGGCCTCTGAAGGCCCCGAAGAGTTAAAACCGGTCCTACGAGCAAACCAGAAGTCCATTCTTAAACTTCCGGTTTACCCATGGGGCCAGGTTTTCGCATTCTGGAGGCTTCAGGGAAGTCACAAAAAGCATGCCAAAAATGGGGGGGGGGGGTGAGCGCTGGTCATGGCCGCATGCACGCTGTGGTCGTGCACATAGCATTATGGATGTGGCATGCCTGCGCACAATCCCCCTGCGCCCCCCCTCCTTTTGGCACGCAAGCCAAAAAAGTTTAGCCATCTCTGTTCCAGAGCATTCTGTGAACATCAGTAAGCAGTTTCTGACATAGCCAATTTGCTCTTTCTTTGTGCTTATAATTGCAATCTGTCAACTCAATTACATGTATCTTCATGTCAGAAAAGTGCTCATCTTAACTACAGTTAAATCATGCGCAGTGATGTTCTTCATTGATATTGTTGCCCTCTTCCATTTTCTTATGTTACTCTGAAGGCACTGAATATAGTTTATCTTTAGAAAAGAAATTATAACTTGCTCATTCACAATTCAACCACAATTTAGGTAAAGCTAAATGTATTTATCTTCCTGCCTCATTAAAAAATAATACAAAACTAGCTTTCAATAGAAAATTTAAATACAAAAGACAATTACAGTCTGAACTGAGACATTCTATACTTTAAGCTTTTCTGTACAATAATTATGTACATGTTGGTGACAATTAAGTAGTAAGAGGAAAGCTCTTAAAACCCATCTGCAATGTTAAATGTACTCCATAATCCGCTATTGTGTGGAAGTTCAAAAAATTAAGCATATTTTATTTTGATTATCACTTTTTTCACATAAAATGGCAGCTAGATTATGAATACAGAACATTATTATATATTATAAAGATTTGGTAAACCTCTTCAAAAACTCTTAATTATCATTAAAGGCCCTTCCATTAAAAATAAAAGATTTTATATCTTTGCAGATCAATTTTACATTATCTAATTGGTAACTTCTAATTGTTAATAAAACTGTATTTATTTGATATCAGTAACTGCTACAAAATAGTTCATCATAGAGGGTACATCACCAGAACACCTTCTGAAAGCTAGATAAACAGAGATTAATATCTGACAAACTATCAAGCAATAAATAATACCTCAATCAAGTAACTACCAAGGAGAAAACAACACTCCCACATAAGATACCAATCTCAGTCCTTAGTATTTTTGGTTCAAGCTCTCAAAAATTAGGTGTGGAACTATTTTTGGGTCAGGGCTGCAAGAATTACTGCTGTATGTATCTTTGCTGCCACCTGGTGGTCTTCCAGATTTTTAGAGATGGGAATCTAACAGATCTAACACTCTATGATATTGACAATTAAGATTCACATGTTATTATGTTATTATATGTTTTCCATATCTTCCAAATAGAAAGTGAATATGTCAAAATAAAAGCTAAACTCAAATTCTTCAGGACATCTACATTTCCAGGTGAATGGAAAGTTGTCAAATTAAAGAATATTTTATCATTTGAGTTTTGATTTGTTGCCAGAAATGATTAAGTCAGAATCAGTATAATTACTTCAAATAAGAACTAAATCTTGGATATAACACTGGGATCAACCAATGTTCTGATTTGACATAAGGCAGCTTCATTGGTTCATAACAACAGCTATTAAATATGGTCCAATTAGACAGATCTTCTTCAATATACCTAAACATACATGCTAAACTACATAAAATACTTACTTTAGTATTCAAGGCATCAATCTCTCGTTCAGCTTTGTGAAGCTTGCCTATTAAGTCTGTATTTTGTTCACCACTTATCTGCAATTCTTTTTCAATGCGTTCAAGCTGCAACCTACCAGATTGTTTTTCTGCCTTAAAATTAGGGGAAAAATTGTATTAATAAATTGAATTTGTTGGGAGAAATTATTTGAATTATATTCTGAAACTTGTTTACACTGAAGCATTTCTACTGATGTAAATTAAATTATCTTTATATTCTCTAGGACATAGCTATATAGGTGTAAAATGTTTAACTTGGGGTTAAGAAATTTCCAAAAATATGATTAAGATAAGATAACCTTTATTGCCATTTATGTTATGTCTACACAACACACATTAAAATGACATTCAAATGCACCATTCAGAAAAGAAGGAACGTGACCCAATGTCATTATCCCAAGGATAACAATAATACAATAATACCAAAAATGCCAAGTTATGCAAAAATGGCACAAAAACTTATAATCGCAGTCCATTTTCAATACTTAGTGGAAAAAAGTCTTGAGAGTTAACAAATGTGATACTATATGGAATAAAGCTGTTACAGAATCTAGTTCTAGTTTTCAGATACCAAGAAGCCTCTTCTCAGAATGCAACAATGAAAACTTAGTCACATACTGTAATATCTCACCAGTGTAAAAGAAACAATTTATACATTTTACAGTACTGTACAATTTTGTTTCTATTGTTTCTATTCTATTTTGTTTGCTATTTTTAAAAAAGCTGATCATTAATATTCACTGATAGTCTGATGTGCATTTAGATCATTGACCAAATTCCTGAAATTCATACACATAGCGTGCATTTTTATAATGCCTATACAGAAGCAATTCAGATCAGGTTTTTTACCTCCAAAGTTCTCATTGTAGCTTGCATTTCAGCTAACTGTCGCAACTGTATTCTTTGCACATTTTCTGCTTGCATGCCAGAATTTTCTCTCTGTGCTCTTAGTTCTGTTACTTCTGCTTCTAATCCCTTCAATTTCTGCAATAGTTGGGTCTTTTCTCTTATCAGTGCTTCAACACGCTTGTTATCTCTTGTAGGATCAATACTAAGCAGCTGATTATGCAATTCTTCTTTATCTTTATCCAGCCTTGTTACCTATTAAAATTTGAACAGAAAACAGTAACATTCCAACACTATCCTCAGGGTAGTCACATATGGAGCAATATCAAAGCTTACAATATATTGGAAAATGAAAATACAAGAATCCATCACACATGAGATTTATGTTTTGACCAGACCTCATCATACTTTATTAAAATAGCTATCAAAGAGAAAATGTGGTTGATAAACAACTAGCATCAGGGAACGGCGGGAAGACGGGGGCACTCAAAGTATAAAGCTTAGAGAAAATGGCAAAAGCAGGAGGACAAGAAATATCTCCTTGTCACTCTTTTTCGCCACAGCGGCATGGCTCAAGATGGCGGCACAGATATCCAAGAAGTGAAAGTTGGTGGCCGATAGCATCTTCAAAGCCGAACTGAATGAGTTTTTGACTTGGGAGTTGACTGAAGAGGGCTACTCCAGGGTGGAGGTCTGCGTCACCCTAACCAGGATCAAAATCATCATCCTTGCTACCAGAACTCAGAACGTTCTGGGAGAGAAAGGACACCGGATTTGCGAGCTGACAGCCATGGTTCAGAAGCGATTTGGCTTCCCGGAGGCCATTGTGGAGCTCTATGCCGAGATGGTGGCCACCTGAGGACTGTGCACCATCGCCCAAGCCGAATCCCTGCGGTACAAGCTTCTGGAGGACCTTTCTGTGTGTAGGGTGTGTTACAGCGTCCTCCGTTTCATCATGGAAAGCAGAGCCAAGGGTTGTGAAATGGTGGTTTCCGATAAACTCCAGGGCCAGTGCACCCATGAAGTTTGTGGACAGGTTGATGATCCACAGTGGGGACCCCATCAATTACTACGTGGACACTGCCGTGCACCACGTCCTCCTCAGGCAGGATGTGCTGGGTATTAAGGTGAAGATCATGTTGCCCTGGGATCCCAGTGGGAAGTTTGGGCCCAAGAAGCCCCTGCCGGATCACGTCAGCATCGTGGAGCCCAAAGAAGAGATCTTGCCCACCACCCCCATCTCGGAGCAGAAGGGCACCAAGCTGGATCAGCGGTCAATGCCCCAGTCTCTGCCCACAACATAAGAGGTTTTTTATATATAACCTTGGAAGTTCTAAAAAAAAACTGTTAATAAGGTTTTTAAAAGAAAAAAAAAAGAAATATCTCCTTGTCATGTTTGGGATAATACTTCTAAAGTATGAGCACATCTGTTAAAACAGATCTATATATCAAATTCAGACAAAATCTGAAAAACGAATTCGAGCAGGCAAATTTAGACTTAATCTGTATCCACAGAGACAGAAAAGGCCTAGGACTGGTGCTTTTAAAAACGTTTCTAACATTTCCCCCAAATTTTTAAAGGATATATAATCAAACATTAGGGGAATAGCCAAGTTTGCTGATGACACTAAATTGTTCTGCATTGAGTCCTGGAAGAATCAGGACTTTTTTTTTTTTTTTTTACTCAAGGCATAATTAAACTTTGGGATTTGGTACCAAGAAGGTGCAACCGGTTTATGTCTCTGTGTGTGCTATTGAATCACTGTTGACTCCTGCCTAGACAGGGTTTTTTTTTGGCAAGATTTCTGAAGCAGCTTGTTAGGGCTCAGAGATTGGCCCAAGTCATCCAGCTGGCTTTGTGTCTAAGGCAGAGCTAGAACTCCTAGTCTCCCAGTTTCTAGTCTGATGCTGTAACCTCTATTCCAAGCTGATTATCTATCTATATGGCTAACTTCAAAAAAGTTTGGATCAATTCATGGAAGTCAAGGGGATGATTACTGCTTCTTGTTGGAGACTAATGGACTTCTTTGTATAGTTCATTTGCTACTGTAAAAACAGACTGCTGGAGTACATGGGCCAAGAGTCTGATCCAGCAGGACACTGATGTTTTAAGAGGATCGCTATAACACAGCCAAAATTAGAAATATTTTATGAATGATTCTGTACTTTACTGTACTGTGCTTCTATAAAGGGGAAATCGCTCAAACTGATAATCATTTGATTGTAAAAAAAATATTCCTTTTTGCTCATTTTTAATAAAACACCAGGATTAGGAAGATGATAGAGACAAATAGCTTACTTTATCAATTTTATAATCAGAAAATCATTCACCATGCCAATTTATAGCGCTCTTTCCATCACAGAAGCAGCAGTAATAGTAGTACCCTGCACATTACTAGTAATTCTACTAGTAATTCCAATGTTTGTTGGGCATTGCAGTACCTTTTCCCACACACACTTTAAATAAACATTTGTAAAAATCTCTTTATCACTTTTGACTCTTTCAACTTAAATAACTAACACTTGGGCAGTCTTCAATTTTTCAGTTTCCTCACATTCTTTCAAAGGTGATTCCATTTCATAAGGGGAAAAGACGAGCCATTTGTGTTCCCTGCATCTAGTCAGAGGGATAAATCTTGTCTTGGATAAAGCAGACACCCTGTTTCAATCTGAGCAGAAATGGTTTTTTTCTGAAATGGACCATAAACTGAAAATTATGTTCAGTATACAAACTATTACTTTCATTTCACAAATGAAAAGAAGAAAAACAAAGCAATCTACTTACACATCTCAAAGCATAATCACAATTTAAAATTAAAATCCTAAGCAAACCTTTTTGGGATTAATTCAATAAAAACAAAAATGAAGTTATCAACAAACACGGAATCATACTGTAAGCTGCATATGCTGATCAATCTCTTTTTAAAAAATCTAAAATATGATTTTACTGATATAATTTTATATTAGGACTTACCTCAGCTTCATATCTTATTTTATTTTCTTCCAATACACGGGCATGCTGTTCTCTCTGATGTTCAAATTCTGATTTGAGGAAAGTATGTTCATAACGAAGTTTGTTATATTCTGTTCTATATTTTTCTACTTCCTAAATTAAAAACAGCATGTGTGATTCAACTGGAGCAAAGCAAACAAAAATAGAAAAAAATTGGCCTGCTCAATGGACAAATTATATGTAGCATAAATGGAATTAGAATTGTAAGGTTTTATTATTTTAGTGTTCTTACTGAAGTACCACATGAAGTATTTTTATATTAACAGCTTACTAAATGCCTAATTTAGTTGTAAGGAAAGGTGCTTGTGCTTTATTGTACTTCCCAGAAACATTAAAATCATCTCAGGTTACGATGTTGTAGTTTCTTTATGGAGCCCAATTAATCAACCCCCGGTATCAACTTCCTGGAAAGAGTTTCATCTACTTTTAATAGCAAACTATTTCAAGTTCTCCATGTTATGTTATGTTTGGGAGAGCTTGCTTGTTTTCAATCTTGTAAACTGCCCAAAATTATGTGTGTGAAATGGGCAACTAGATAAATGATGTAAATAAAATGTCAAACATGCTACACTGGAAAGGAGCAGGACTTATAGTGGATTTTTAAAACATTAAATATTTGTTTCATTGATATAAAAGATAAGTTTTATTATTAAAATAGTGGTATTTATAGTGTTGATTAAAAATAATTAAAATTCTAATGCTTAAATTGCTTAAGTCATTAAGAAATAATAAAATAAATATTATCAGTCTTAATTGTGGTTTAAAATATCAAATATGGTCCAGTTATGTGATCCCTTGACTTGCAACCACAACACTTTACAACTGCAATTACGGGTTCAATTGCATTTATAAATCAAGGACTACCTGTATAATCATAGCTAAGTTATATTGCCATAAAATAGAGCCATGCTAGATAACCATTGTGAGACATTCTATGCCATTTCTTGTAGATGGTTTAGTCCATTGTAGATTTCAACCTATTTTCATTATCCAACTAGTCTGTAATAAATATTATAGTTATACAGGTGTTACTATATTAAACAAAACCTAAAATCATAAGATTTTTAATGTTTGCATTAGACCTCAGTTTTATAGAGGATGCAATATATTTAAGGGGTTTTTGAAGAAAAACATGAAGCATTTAGGAAACTTGGGAAACAACTAATATTGAAAAAAACCTTAAAATTACACAATTCATATAATTTCAAATTAGCCAGACAACTTAGGCAGCATTTGATTAGGGAATGTCTGAGTTATCTATCAAAAAAACTTCTCATCAATAGAATAAATCTGCCAAATAATCTTGCTTTCATATTTTCAGTAAATATTTAACAAACTGCTGTTATAATAAAATTCTTTCCATTTTACTTACTTCATCCAGCTTGCGAAAGCGTTCTCTCGTAGGTGTTTCTAATTCGTGATGTATTTGTGCTTTCAGCAATTCAAGCTTCTGGGGAGTTATTACCTACAGGATGGTAAAAGTAGCTATAATGCAAATAACTAAACTGCAGGGATACTGAAGTATTTACTAGATGACTGGATGACTTTCAGCGGGTCTCTGTTTCATTTTATCTCCCAACGTTTTGTGAGGAAGATCTAGGGGACAAGCAAATTTGAAGGGAGTCATAGGGCATTAGCCATTACTTGATGATGTGAGTAGAGCGACCACACAGATTGCAGGAATGGGAAGAAGCAAGTAAGTACACTACAGAACCCAGTCAAGGTTAACAGCAGTGGCCCTGAGAACAGAACTGGGGTTAGAGGGAAGGAATCCTTGGGGCAAGGAAATTATAGTGCTAAATTTGCCCAACTCATTTAGTAAAATATAACACCAAAAACCCATAAAATGACTTTACATGATATGCAAGTCCAGCAACTATCTTGCATTTTGCATTAACTTCATGAGGATAAAATGAAAACAGAAAGAATAATAATCGCTGCAAACTCTAACAACCCCTGCTCTAGGCCCTTCGTTTGTTCCCCATATTGGCTGAAAAATACCTACGGTATTTCTTTATGACACGCTGCAATAGTAAAATACTTTAATTCTTTTAAAAAATGAAACTACTTCTATTAATCCAAAGAAAGTCTAAAGATTCTACTGCAGCAGCAGTCTTTCTTAATACTGGCAAATGGTTTGAAATGGCGAAAAATAATATGAAAATCTTATACTTAATTGAAAAAAGTAACCTTCCGCCTGATTAGCCATAGCAATTCTTGACATACAAGTCTATTTAACAAAAATAGTCACTGATAAAAACTTGCTAACTATAAATTATCATGCCTATAGGAACAATGTACCAGAAATTTAACATTTTCAAAACTTGGAAATATTGTCTTACCTGTAATTTTAATTCCTCTGCTTCTCTAGTTTTATCTAATAATTCTCCTCTAAGTTCAGCAAGTAGCAACTGAAATTTCTCATGGACAGTTTGCTTTTCATGTAACAGTTGTTTTAACTCACTTTGTGATTTGGTATATTCATCAAGTAGCCTGCAAAAAGAACCATAAAATTTTAAATCATGAAACAAATATGTGCATGAAGGAGGTACCTGTTGCTACTTTTTAGCAACAAATACCTCCTTGGTGTTGCTACTTTTTAGCCCTTTCAGGGACTTCTGTACATGCATTCTCTCTCTCTCTCTCTCTCTCTCTCTCACACACACACACACACACACACACACAGGATATTTTATCAAGGACAACTGGCAAAGCTAAGAAGTACTCATTTTGCTTCACCAGTTACCTCAGAAATGTCCTTCACATACACCCAGAAAATTTTAGGGGATCATAAAAGCAGCCAAGTAGCTGTTTTATGCTTTGTAATGTGCATAAAGAGAAGACTTTTACCAAAGGTTTTGAAAAAGACTAATCATCCATAACTTTCAGCAAAAATAACAAAAGAAGAGAAATTCAACGACTATGGCACAAACCAGCAGTGGTAATTCCAGTGGTAACTGGCACACTGGGT